CCCCAAAACCCCAAAACCCCAAAACCCCAAAACCCCAAGAGGGTAGTGAATAGTTGACCTTATATAATTAAATTAACAGACATTATCATTAATATGATGTCGAGTGTAAATCTTCATTCAATGATATCTATGTTTACAATTCAAACCATCCCTAAATTATTATATAGGCTAAGTCATCCCCAAGGAAGGGTGATAAAAAGAAAGAAATAATAAAAAGCGATTCAAAAGAAATAAATCTCTGAACAAAAGGTCTTTCAGGCTTCAAGATGGGTAAGTCTATATTAATCAGCTATTTCTTATTAACATAGGTAAATTACTTGGAAAGGGAGGATATGCGAAGTGTTACGAAGCTCTAGATTTAAACACTAAAAAGGTACCTAATTTTCTCCCATATCTTACAATTTGATAGGTTTATGCGATAAAAATAGTCAACAGATCGAAAATAACACAAGAGGAGAACAAGAAAAAGCTGGAGACTGAGATAAAGTTGCACAAATATGTATCTTCTTCTGCTATAAAATCGTAATTTCGTTCTAAGCTTTAGTGACGACAAAGTGTCAAACATCGCAAAGCTCTACCAATACTTTGAAGATGCAAAGAACGTCTACATTCTGCTTGAGTTATGTGAAAATCTAAGCCTTGATGTACTCCTGAAAAGAAGACTTCGGCTGAGAGAAGTTGAGGTGAGATGATACTTAGCTCAGATAATCAATGGCCTGAAGCAACTCAAGAGACATAATATCATACATAGAGATTTAAAGTTAGGCAATCTCTTTCTGACAAAGAAAATGGAAATCAAGATTGGAGATTTTGGATTAGCTGTACAACTTAAAAATCCAACTGCGAAGAGAAAATCTGTTTGTGGAACACCAAATTATATTGCACCTGAAGTGTTAGACGAGGGGCATGGACACTCTTTTGAAGTAGATATTTGGGCATGTGGTGTCATTATTTATACTCTCCTAGTGGGGAGACCTCCTTTTGAAACTAGAGATCTTCATGAAACTTATAGAAAAATTCAAAGAGCAACTTATAGTTTCCCTAAGCATGTTAACATAAGCGATAATGCTAAAGATTTGATATCAAGATGTTTACAAATAGACCCTTTGAAGCGTATAAAGCTTGAAAAAATGTTATCCCATAATTTCTTCAAAGAAGGGTACCCTGAGCTTTGCCCTGTCACCACTCTCACCATTCCACCATCAATATCGTACAGTGAAGCATTTAAACCAAAAACTGGGAAGACTTCACCAGGAAAACCGCCTATTAAATAAATCTGCTTATTTCAGAACGACATATCAGCCGATATCAGCTAAGCGAAGTCTAGCTAGGCCAAAGAAGTTGAGCAATCAGATGGACTTACCTCTGAAGAAAAACTACAAAAGAGAAAGCATGGTTCTAACAAAATCAAAATCTTCTAAACTGAAATAACCCGAGCAGGGTCACCAGCAAGAGATGTAGGTCTATTGATGGCCAACAGGTCTCTTTCGAAATCAAGAAAGTCTCCGTAAGTTATCTAAATAATGCATAGGCACTGAAGAACCTCAAACATATACAGGAGATCAGAAGAGAACAAGCAGGCACTCCGTGTAATTTAGAAGTAGAGAGAAAGAAATAAACTAACTAGAGAGGGTTCTTGGGACGAAAGTTCAGTCGAAGGTAATCATAGTTGTTTATACATTAGCTGAGGAACTTGAAACCCAAAAGTTTAATCCCAGATTCAAGCCTACAAAGCCAAGCGTCATGAGTAGTAGACAAAGTGTAGATAAGAGTAACAAGGCAGCATATAAATCATTCCAAGATGACACCAATGCTCAAGGAAAAATGGATTTATTTAATTCGATGGGTAAGTCAGATATGTAGTGTTTACTCTAAATAGATAGTAAAAGAGAGGAGTCAGTCAAACTAGAGCAAGTATTAAAAGCCAAAGAAGAGCCATCCACTGCTGAGTCCTTTGGATCAAGTATCAATGAAAGTATTAGATCTTTCTCAATGTGGAACTCTTGTAATAAATCTGGTCCTTCAAGCACTGGATGCACTCTTATTTCAGAGTTTTTAAAACCAACTGATTCTGGATTATTCTGCTATAAACTTTCCTCTGGAAATTACGGAATACTATTCAAAAATTCTGCTAAAATAGTTGTCTCACAAGATCTGTTTCAATTTTATTACTTAAGGAGAAGTCAAAGTAATGGCAAATCTCAGTTTAAAGCTTCTCTGCATAACTTTGACAAGGTGCCTGTTTGTCTCAAACCCCATTTGAGAGAAATTTACTCTTCATTACAATCTCTATGTGGAAAGAAAATGCTACATGATCCTGGAGATTCAGAAAGTGTTGATGAAAGCTTTTACCTAAGTCAGAATATTGTCTATTGAAACAGAATAAAGAAGGAAAAGTCTGCTTTTATATTTAAAATGAGCAATCAAATCATGCACATCATCTTTGATGATTCTACTGAGATAATATTTAATGAGAAAGAAATGATATCGGTCATCCTTACAAAGGATAAGCAAATTTTAAAAGCAAATATAGCCAATAACTTCCACAGCTTTTTCACTCTTGCTAACCATAACCACGGGTTGAACAAGAAGTTGGTTTTTGCAAAGGAAATATTTGAGAGGGCAAACACATCAAGCGCTTTGAAGACTACTAAGAAGAAGTATTCCCTCTATATGAACCCTCTGGCTAAGAAAACCAAGAATTATTCAGTCAATTTAGGATACAAACCATCTCCAACGAAGCGTGTCAGAAAGAAGACGACCTCTAGCACGAGTTATAAGACTGCTCGAGATGCTATTAAAAATGGTGTTACACAGGAAATTAGGAAGAAGCTTTCAACACAGTTCTATAACTTCTCTAAGCCATCTCAAAAGAGAAATCACCCATTGTTGAAGAACAAGTCAGGCCTTGGAAATGATCCCAAGCATTGATTTAGCCACGAATTTGATAAGAAAGCTCTCCATTACTCTAATATTGCATAAATAATTTAGCATTTAAGGTTATTTAGAGAGCTTTTCACTAGTCTAGATCATTTGGGGTTTTGGGGTTTTGGGGTTTTGGGGTTTTGGGG